TGAAGAAGAAGAACAAGAGGAACGCGAAGATCCAATTCAATGATGAGCAGTTGAAGAATTTCAAGGAGCTGAAGAGGCGACTGTGCAATCCTCCAGTGTTGCACCTCCCTAACTTCGGCCAGCCCATGCATCTGCGCACTGATGCGAGCAAATTCGCTGTCGGTGGAATATTATTCCAAGTCGTGGACGGAGTTGAGCGACCCATTGCGTTCACAAGTCGAAAGATGAAATCCGCGGAGCTCAATTTTCCAACACAGCAACAGGAGCTACTTGCTATCGTGCACGCGCTAGCAGCTTTTCGAATTTACTGCTTGGACAAACCACCGATCGTCGAGACAGACCACAAAAGTCTCGAAGGGTTGTTCACACAGAAGATGGCTAACCGCCGATTGGCTAGGTGGTACGACATTCTCGCTGAGTACCAACCCACGTTCTCGTATCTTCCTGGTGCGAAGAACGGAATCGCGGATGCATTGAGCCGCAGACCGGACTTGCAGCCAGATACGAAGTATTTCCATGACCTGAGTGTGTCCAGCTTCAACGACACTTCCTTCAGTCTTGCTGACAAAGCCTCCTGGTTTACTCTAACCATTGAGTATTCCGGATGAACGCTGGAGATCAATCTCCATGGACTTCATCACGGATTTACCTAGAACGAAGCGTGACGTTGATTCGATTTGGGTCGTCGTCGACCGACTGACCAAGAGATGCCACTTTGTGCCGACTACGAAGAAGGTAACAGCCGAAGGCGTTGCCCGTCTCTTCATCGACAACATTTGGAAACTTCATGGTATGCCGACGAATATTGTATCCGATCGAGATAGGAAATTCGTGTCTGCGTTTTGGCAACACGTCTTCAAGTCTATCGGCACGACACTCAGCATGACGGTAGCACACCGGGCTCAAGGCGACGGGCAAACTGAGTGAATGAATCGGACGCTAGATCTTCGATGCTTCGTTCGTCCACGTCAAGACGACTGGGACATTCATTTAGCGAACGCTGAGTTTGCCGTCAACTCAACGGTGAACTCCAGTACCAAGCTCGCACCGTTCGAAGAGGATCTAGGGTATATCCCGCTGAATCCGCTACAGCTTGCAGCGGAGCAATTTGATACGGTTGTAAAAAGTCGTCGGGGCGCTGAGTTCCACGAGCGCCAAGCAGCTATTCTTCTTCGCTGCCGTGAAACACTTGTTCAAACGCAAGAGCGAATGCGTGATGTCTACGACAAGAACCGACAAGAACAAGTTTTTGAGGTTGGCGACCGTGCGTACTTGAGCACCAAACACTTGGATCCCAAGCCCACTGGTCTGCCAGCATCCACTAAGTTGGGTCCGAAGTGGATTGGACCTTACTCTGTTGTGCGGAAGATACACAATCATGCTTACAAACTCAACATTCAAGCTGGCAACAGGTTTCACCCAGTATTCAATACGGGTTCGCTGAAGCCGTACAACGAGCCGACACACTTGTCGCGGCCCAACGAGGTTGTACGGCTGATGGAAGTATCGGCCAGATCGTCAAACGCTTGGTGAAGTGTGTCAATAGTCCACAGATCCTAAGAGTACAAAATGATTGATGTACATTCTGTGCTTGGCGTTGAATGGAATGCTGAGCGACAGCTGTACTGTTCCCCATGAAAACTCAAGCTGAACAAACAGCAAGCAGAAGAATTGCTGAGAACATAGTATCGCCCTCGAAGTCTTGGACTTTGCCAAGCGTCACCAGTAAAAAAAGCTCAAAACACAAAACGAGAAGGATCTACGTCTATAATCCCTTGGGATCGGCGTTTGTTCAAGCGGTGGCATAGAGAACCGCACCACCGCTCTTTCTTGTTGTTGTTTTTATTTTTTTGTTTATTGGTTACTCTCTTCTACCGTATGCTCTAATCACCGATGTTAACGGTACTGTCCTCTCACTCCAAAGCGAGCGCATCTAGATATTTTGTTTGCATCGAGACATTGACAAACACACTTGAATAACTTGAAAACACAAAGCTTGGCATGGCAATCACAAGTTTTCTTGTACCACTTTGTACTTCTTGAAGTATAACGTATAAAGTGTCCTCAATATTTCTTTGACATTTGTGGTAATATATCAAGTTTACTCCAGGACTCAGTGGATCAAAATGTGTATGTGTGTTGGTAAATATGTAATGTACAATATATGTATAAAATATTGTGTACGACCAGATTTCAGGCTTCTTTAGGATAAATACAGTAGGTATCTTAAATAACTAGGCCAGTATGGCGTCTGTCAACGTCAAAAGTGTGACAGGAAGGCCATTGGCTAAAAAGCTGCCGAGCGCAGCGATGGCGGCCCTCATTGGCTAAAATGCTGCCGAGCGCAGCGAAGGCGGCCAACGGCCATTCGTTAGAACTCTAATACAAACACACACATTAAATTTTACTCCAACACACAAAATGGCCAGGCAGCCCACCGCCGGACCCCGCCGGCGAGAACCCCATCGCACTTCGGCTGTGCGCATGCTGTGAGCAACTGCTCGACTGGGACGCCTTTGCGAAGCGGAGGTGGCCAGCACTTGCTACTGTGACCAAACATTAAACCACCGCCGCGAAGCGGCGGCGCTCGGCTAGTTAATAATGTACGTAAGTAGAGTATATTTATAAAATATCGTGTATGACAGGATTTCAGGTTTCTTCAGTTCATTCAGGAAAGATTTTACCGGTGTTGTAGCATAGCTGTGGCGTTCGGCTAGTCTCAGTCCTAGACGATACAGTAGTGACAAATTGTCACTGACAACGAGTTAGATTTGAGCGGAATCTCAACACAATGTTTAGATGCAGATAGGACGTAGACGAGAGATCCAATAATAGACTGCCGAACTTGTTTAAACTCGTTTTGGTATTTGTTTGTTTACTTCGAAGTACAAGCCCCAAACAGCAGAACAGTGCGAAGTTACCAGACATCAGAGTTGCCAAACAGCGTCTCCGTAAACAAATTGTACGGCATTTGAATTTTAAATTGATTCCTGTGTACGTGTAATGGTCTAATCACCCAATCACCTCCCCTTTTTCATATTTATGTATGATCTTATCATCCAATCCCCTGTTCATTTTTTTATTTTGTACAGAGACAGATATTCGCCCACTTTATGGCTACATCCGCAAACAGTAGACGGGACACAACTCCCTTTTCTGAAGTCTTTTGCTGTTCCCAATTCAAAACGATTTGTTTTAGAAAAGGTTAAAAGGGGCTAAAAATAGACCCGCATTTTCAGGTTTGACAGATTATCGGTATTAAACGTAAGCAAGAAAAGATTCGAGAGGTGGAATCTGGGCTGATAATCGTCCTGTGTGCAATCCCAGCAACATTTAATGCTATTCTATCGAACTACTACTAATAAGTATTAATTTCTACCTCCCTTGGGACTCACACGTTCTGAGCGAGCATGCTCTGACCAAGCTATGATGAATAACAAAGCTTGAATGGATTTTCTTCCTAGAGAAAGTGTTCTAAACGGTATTAATAGAAAATGAAACAAGAGAACGAGTCCCAATTGAGGCTGTCATGTTGTCGTGACGCCAACATGTATTGCATTGCACTTTGCAGACTCGCGGTGCAGAGGCTGCCTCTCTTGTCTGGTCTTGCTCCACTTGATAGGAGTATTTAATCAAATCCTAGCGTTGAAGTATACTAGCGACCGGCTCGATTGCCTTCCCATCACCATTGTTCCGCAAATCGTGCTGCCGCCTGTTGAATTAACACTGTTGATCGCGACTCCGATAAGGATCCCGGGGAGTTCAAGACGTCAAGATGGACTCATTCTGCATTTTGCAGCCTCGGAGGTGTGCATCTACCTCAAGCTTCGTCCCACCTTCCACTCGCGGTCTCTTCAAGATGCTTCGATCAAGAGTGGCACTCGCCCTTTTGGCTGCCACTGTCTGCAACACCGGAACACAAGCTATCGACTGGACCTTTTGGAACGATAAAGACGATTCGGCCCCTTCACCCGCGTCGTCCAATGCGTACACAGAGACCCTGTCTCCAGAGACCCTTGCGACTATGGTGGGATCCGACTATCTGGACAATGTCAAGGAGTTAATTTACTCTGGAAAGGGATCAGACTTGGATTCGGCGTCGGGCTCGACTTCAGAGGCACCTGGTTCTACCGCTTCGTCCTCTTCTTCCATGCTCGATACGGACGATGACTCTGCATCGACTGCTCTGTCGTTAGCTGGATCCTCTGCTTGGGACTTGGCAGTACCTTCAATGGACGAGGTCGCGACTCCATCAACCGCCGTTAACATGTATGAATCGATCTACCGCAACTGGGTGGGGCCTTGGAGGCAGTCCGAAGACCCCGCTTGCTACCGTGAGGCTCATTTCATGAAAAAGTGCCCAAGCAACTACGATCGCAACGAACTGACAAACACATGCTGGACGGAATGCCCGATGGGCTATCCCGTGGAATGTGGCATGCAGTGCATTTTGCAAAACAACGACTGCGGTCGTGAAAACGCTGCCAAGGTCTCAGCTGTGGCTATGGCCACGCTAAGCATGGCCTCCTTTGGTGTGTTCGGTCAACTCGCCAAGTACGGAAGAAAGGTGAGCTGGGCAGTGGCTTGTGCCAATTATCTCTTGGTCTTTGTCCGAGCTGTCATCCGTTTCACGCGTAACCAAGTGGTCAACGAACCGGAGACGCCGATGGAGAAGCTCCTGTTGCTGCTGTACCAGACGGGCTTCGTCGTTGCTGATCTTCCGGCTACTATCTACGCGTGCTCAGGCAAGCCTGTTCCGCCGAACCTTCAGCTAACACGCCAACTGTTGCCCACTGCTCAGTTACTCCTTCTATTGACTGTCGCTTACGACGACGAAATCATCAGGAATTGGGAAAAATTCAAAGCTTTCATGAAGAGAGCCAACTTTACGGAAGCAGCTGAACAACTTACGGAGGGCGAGATCTCAAGTCTGGAAACGGGAATGAAGCAGAACTCGACGTGCGGCGATGACCTCAAGATGTTGACCACTCAAGTTTGGATGACAGTGGACGAGTATCGTCAGAAGAACCCAAAGATCAGTGAAGGTGAGCTCCGGCTTAAGTTGAGCGAGTCGGACCTCATTCTGTACCATATCCCCACTGTGACCAACAATTGCATGCCGAAGATGATCTCTGAATCTACGGTTGCCACCGCGTATAAGACGCGTGAGACGCTCCGAAAGACGTACAGTTTAATGATCAATGATCTTATCAAGTCAGGCAAAAGTGACAACGGCACATCCATGGCCGCAAAGCACAACGCCTATACATGGCTTCGTAATGGTCTCTGGTTGGCTTCGTATGCTTGGGACCCGACGGATTTATCGACTCTGTTCGCAGAATTTCTTCAGACTATCTGTGGTCCTACGCAGTTCATGGGTGAAATCGATGATGGCAATGAGCTCGCCACTCTAGGAATGAACGCACTTCACAAGGCCTTCAAGAACAGCACGCTCTCTTGGAAAAAGAAAGGTGATGGTGCTGTTATTGTTAACTTTAAGAGCAACGACACCAAGGACGTGACCATTAATATCAAGTCTGGTGGTGACAAGGTTGGCAACGTCAAACTCAAAGCTGGGGGTACTGCCCAGTGGAGGTCGAATGTTACAACACTTGGCGGCAAGACTCTGTACATGGATCGCTGGCGACCCGGTTTCCTTGGACTACCCGGTACGGGTGGTGGCTCCCTGGTGTTATGGGTGCCCATTTCGCGTCAGGGCGGCCATTTGGAGATCAATGCTCAGCTCAACGTGAGCTAAAGAACTTATTAACTAGAGTCTATTTCTTGTTGTTAGTTTACAATAGAATTACTAGTATAAAATACTTCGAAGTAGATCGACGTTTCATCACATTTATAGGCTGCTTTTTGCATTCTACTTCCAGTTGAGTGTTCAAAAAAGACTATCCTACGACACGTACTACCTGGCAGTTTTCAGCAGTATCGCTTTCACGTCATATTGCATTTGGCGCCAGCAAGATGTCACAGCTGAGCTGAGGTGGGCTCTTAACGATTCCAGTGCCTCGTTCATCTAGTGAAAAAGTAAAAATTCAGTTTAAACTTTAAAGCTTTCAGTTTATTTATTCTTTTACATACCGTATTATATTTAGTGAAAAAGATACAGTACCCAAAATAGGAGTGATTCACCGTTCACCCTATAACCACCGTACAGTAATCAGGCCTCCGGATTCCGGACCGGAAATGCAATTTCAGCTTGTGTCCGACACCGGAATTCCGGTGTCGGACACAAGCACTTTCGTTGCCATCACAATCATCTCTATTGTTCGTGCTGTTCACACAGAAATCCCCCTTGATCAGCGTAGCTCGTACTTTGTATACCCTTTCATATCTGCTAATGATGATTTGAGAATTCATTTGTATTTTTCTAAATAAAGGTGGTAGTTCCCCCCTCTGAAATATTATGTGCAGTGTCCCGTCTAACACCTGCGCTTATCGATGGGGTGTTGTGTACAGGGACTGTAGAAAAGCCAAACCGAGGTTTTTTGATGTCGTGATCTTCAAATGCCTCTATTATAACAGCGGTCCGTACTTGCAGTTGAAGTAGAGAAGTATATGGCTTATGTTTAAAAGTTCGTAATTAAGTGACGCCTTCTGAAACCGAAAACGCGCTGTATTACTCGATGAGTCCGCATCAAATGTCTTTTTTAATGTTCACACAGAGGATTTTCCAGCTTACTGGAGTCGTTGCTCTCATATAAAGCTTTGAAGTTAGATTGTTACCCCTTTTAACCCTTTTGAGCCACAGTCCAGCAAAATTGGGTCAAATATATTCAACAGATTGCCCGTTTGTGTTTTAGATCCATAATACCGGCGGCAGTGCCGGTAGGAACAATCGGACCATCAGTAGGCTACTGCTGTGCGACGTACACACGATCTCCTCGGTAGTAATCCCTAGAAATGGAATACTCCCTCAATAGAAATAAATTAGCGGTTCACGTTGACCAGTCTCTTACTAACCCAAGATATTATTCCCTCTCACCCCTCAATCGTAAAATAGAATACAAATCAAATATTCCTATTCTGGGGTGCTGTAATAATGGAAAAACCATAACTGTACAAGGGCAATATTACGGCCACGTCCGATCCGAATGTTGAATTGATGAAGCCTATTTTTTACCCCATTGGGCGTGACTCGAGCTTTAGGATCCTCTTCACTCCACGAAACCCAATTGGCACTTACCTGGTCGGGTGTAGACTGGCGTACTCCTCGTGCCGCGTTTTGTGGCCAACTGCGAGACCGGAAGTTAGTCCAGTGCTTTTCTGCGCATCAGTAGCTTCCAGATCGTTGTTTGTAATGAACCTGAGGAAGACCGTAGATTTGTGAGCCCATGAATCTAGCTCTGTATTGGACAAACTAGGGATGTGAGCATGGTGCTAGCATATTTGTTCTGCAGTCGTTGAGTATTGTGTGAGACGGACTGGTTGGGCTTGAGAGGAGGGTTTCTGGTGTGGTGAGCCAAAACTGGCAATTGGAGAGCAAGACAGAATGAAACGCCAGTAACGAGCTCATATTAGTAAATTTTGTACACTATTTCAAACTTAACGTACTCGGATCCAATTTGTGGTTCATTCACGGATGGGAATACCCTTAGACAGGAATATATTTGAAGCTACCAGCGCTATGACTACCGAGGGGATTGTCTGAATGTTTTTCTGGTGATCGAAGTTGATGACGTACGTTTTCAAGTCTCTAGTACATGTACCATAAACAAGTAACCCGGAAAAAAAGGTTATTTGACATTTTGAGTATGTAGTTCCTCTCACGTATGCATATTTATTTGTTTTAAGCATTAAAATATTGCTTTAAATGAGTAACAGAATCACACCCTATTGTGCACTGGTCGATATTTGGACCTACAGCACTGTACATACCCATTTGTCAGTGAGGAGGGGGGGGGGGTTATAACTTACGATATCCGGTCAAAAGCCTTTCCACAAAGCAAATCATTCAGCTTAGACAAACTTCAACTTCAATCTACTTTCAACAATGAACAACCACCAATGCGTGTCATTCCCTACGATAGAAGACGGGGTTATCTATTTATCACAGGATGGATGTTTGAGCCACACACACATACTGTCACAAGTTTGGAGAAAACCAGGACATTTGCCCAAGTTTGGCTGCTAACATCGGGGCGCGGCGTGTGCGTTGTTCACACTACGGCCCAATTTGAGCGCGAGAGTCGGCACAGAGAGATGTGCCCACAGGCCTCGAACTGCTTGCGCATCGCACGCTCTGAGTAAACGCTTATTAATAGTGGCTGCTCTGGACAGAGCAGTACGTGTGACAAAAGGAGGAATTTTCTTATCTGAGTGGATATCCACTCAGATGTCCCCAGACCAATCCTAAAAACGACCCACTCGTTTTTGAGGGGTAGGTTTATAGAATTGCTCAAAATTGCTTGGCGCTCTTATTAATAATGCGGAGCATGCTTCCATGTAAGAAGTGAAAAGACTCGGTCCCAAATTCGGTCAGTCCCAAGTTCGGTTATGTGTGTCCGGAAGTTATTATGTTGCTACTGCATCGTGTTACAAGTCTAGAAGACTTTAAAGTTGATGTATGGCGGTATTGCGAAATTGGTGACGAAGGTGAAATCGATTAGCACTTCCTTAGACGGCTTGGCAATTTTGGTTAAGATGGATAATAACCATTCCAATAATTTTAGCAAAATGCAGTTTATAGTGATCTATAATCTTCAACGTGCGAAGTTAATAAGAAATGCCGTGAATTTCCCTAAAATTGAGCCTGCACAGATGGTCACTATTTGATCTAACTACTAGATTTCTTCGCTTATTGTTTCACCTTCGTCAATTCCATTTGCATTCCATATAACGTCGAGTCTATATCGGGTTATGGCCCCTCGATAGAAATATTTGACTGCAGAACCCTGATATTGTGAACGCCATCTCTGATCAATTTAAGTCCTGCGCTGACGAAATACGTGTATCCTCTCCTTAGATTAATCTAATATACTTGTTTTTCAAGCTTGTAGAGACTATATTATAGTATCTACAAGCTTGAGAAAAAGTTTCGTGCTATAGCATCTTAGCAGTTTCTTCGGGCGTCATACAGGTAGCTGCTACCTAGGATAAGGCGTGGGATTCTGCATCTACGGTGAAATCCCAGTTAATATCTACCCCTAATACGATTTAGTAAATGTTGTACTTAAAAATATTCATACACATTTATTAATACTGATTGTGATTTAATCAAGCACTCATATAAGGGAATCACGGTCGACGATGGGGACATCTGAGTGGATATCCACTCAGATAAGAAAATTCCTCGTGACAAAAGCTAAAACACACGAAACCTGGTGAACACTTACCGGTACTGTCCATACTGTCAAACTCATCATACACCTACTGATTCAAAAGCATACACGTTTTGACATTTTGCTCATACTTAGTCGTGGTTACATCTGTAGACAATGCTACGAGCATCCTGAAGAGGAAAACAACATCACAGCCACCGAGTGTGAGCCCACTGGTGCTGATGAACGACCGTATGGTTAGTTCGTACAATAACGTATGGGTACAATAAATAAGGTATTGATATTTGAGCTCATAGCATTTTACTAAGTATTAAGTTTAGAGTATGACAAATTGTCAGGAATTCGCAGATGGATTTCCTGACAGATCGAGAAGCGTCTGACATTTATTAGATGTGAATTACCATTGCTTGCCCAAGCGTCTTTCAATTAAATAGACCGTTCCTATTACAACTAGCTGTAAGAGCACATACTGCCATTGTCACTGGACAGGTCTACGAAGAGTGTTGCCAACAATGGATAGCCTTAAACGAACTGACCAAAACGCGCTTTATTAATAGCATCCCGGCGACCTACCATTTGGCAAACCATCAAGTATAAAAGAATAGTAAAAGCAAAATAGAAGGCCACGTTCATCACCATCAAACTATTAAGTATTGGTACTTGTTTCGTGGACGCATGCGGGTGTGAGGCTTATAACAAACAAAGAAGGAGGGTACCACTGGATGCTAAAGTGCACAAGGTGCCTTTTGTTTCCATTTAACGGAAGTGCACTTATGGAACCGGTAAGAAACTCATTATCGGTAACAGTGTTTCTTGGGGTTTATGTAATTGGGGGCCTTCGACAATTTAGAGCGCTTGGTTCTGGTCTTGAGAGTGTGGCCAATGTCTTTCACGATTCATTAGAGCTAGTACCTGAGTTATGGTTTTGGGTCTCGCAAAAGAACACCAATTGGGGGAGCTGGCACTCCCTTAAACGTCTTTGCCTAGTGTATTGAGCAAAACTCAATCTGTTGCTATCTCTATTACTGCGCTGTCTGCCAGCTCGGGCCAGCAAGTCTCTCAACCAGCCACTCACCCGAAGGGTGGCAGTGGCAACTCACCACTGCCGATATGGTGATTGCCTTGCCGCCCACTGCACAGGATGTATGAGGCTACAGTATCCAACCTTTAATTAAACCCACAACAGTCCACTCTTTAAGAGCCTCACTCAGCCTCGTGAACGAATCTCCATCCTGTGCCTCATTGACATGGTGAATATCCGGAGGATGTTCGGGTTTCCGGATAGCGCGAGAGGGGTTACACAACCTATTGTATTATTAGCAACAAGTCTCGAGGACGTGAGCCAGCAAGCAGGCCAACCGGCTCAGTAGATGGTTCATTCGTGAGTTTTCCTCGCCCTGATAAAGTGCCAGCCTCAAGTAACTCTCCATACCGCTTCTAACATGCCTACGGGATCAGTTTCTGCCGGAGACATCGCCTTCGTAGGCCCCTCGCACCTACCCTCCCTCGACGGTTTTTCATACATCCTCGTTACAAAGTACACGGGAACACAGCCACCGTTCGTAAGACAGGACCTGAAGATAACGAGGAGAGTCCCGAGTTCGACGCCAAGACTTCAATTCTGCGCCATCGAATTGTGAATGCAGCAGAGACTGAACTGTGGCCAGGCTCTTACGTTGGTCACCCCATCACTTTTGTCCAATCCGGAGACGAAACCAGCGACCTCTGGGAGTACGGCTAGTGTCGGGCTACAGCATGCAAGACAACGGACCACTGCTCCACATTTTTTTTCGCCTCGACAACCAAACTCACCGTATCCCTCTTACTGAAACGCACAGTGTGATAACAGTGGATCGCCTGAATTACGCTCTCCGAACTGGGGCAACGGTCAACTCGATGACTCTAAAAGCGTTAGAGCTACTGGACAAACAAAACGAGATTATAGTCGCATGCGGAAAAAGTAGAACCGGCCTTCCAGCATTAGTATCGTCAACGATGCTCTGTGTCCCCTTCGTACCAGACGAAACGACCCCCCTCATTCGGCCAGATACACTCGAGATAGTATCTGTCCGCCGCCAACATATTGTGGATTGCGAGCTGGACCGACGAGGAAACAACGCAATGGCCGTCTTCTCGGACCCCAACTTGCCCAACTTCCTGCAACAGCTACCTCATCTATGTCCCCTAACACTAACCGTAACGTTCCTGACGCTAACACCCTTGACTTGGCTTTTAGTGACTCAGAGGACGAAATGAAGACGGACATACCGTCGACAGTACAGGCCGATATTGACCTCGTCCGGCTGCAGAATCGCCCACTCCGCAAGCGCACCCGCGAGCCCGAGACGGAACGCGATCTTCTGCTATCGGAGGGCGACGTTCCAATTTTTCCAGCGGTCCAAGAAGCACAATCGGCTTCATTTTGGCCATCGGCAATGGAGAAATTCGTACATGACGCCGTGGTACACCCGTCTCTAATCGGTAAGAGCGCACAAGGTGTCCTCGAATCTGTCCAGCAAGGATCCCGAACTCAGTTCCTAGCCACTCCCCCCGTCCTCCGTCTTTCATACGATTTTCAGCTTCGGTATGCGGGGTCTATCGGTTATGCACTTCCGCCGGTTTCACCACGAAATCTATCAACAACCCACGTCACTCTCCGTCAATATGACAAACTCCGGCCGCTCGAACGCGCTCCAGGCAGCCACTCCTCCTAAGACTATATCCGACATCGTGGGAGCTTTACAAACACTGCTACTGTTTGCAGAAGGTTTCTACAACAGCACGGTGTGCAACTTTATCAAGGCTTAACATTCATGGAGCAGTTTGCAGTTTCGTCCCGGCCGGACGGCTCCATCAGCAACTCGCTGGTTTCGTGGATAGACTACAAGCTCGGCAAGTTCCGCAGCGAGATCATTGTGACCAACTTACAAACGGCAGCGCTAATAGCCAACGAATTTACCCGAAATGACGACCTCCTCATGGAACGAGTACAAGCTCATCATGAGCGTCAACTCACGGTATTAGTGACATCAAAGACAACGCGTGCACCTGATGCGCCTCGTGCCAACATTTCTCGTGACAACCGCGCTCCTAAGCCTTCCACTGTCCCTTGTAGCCCTGTTACCCAAACAGGGCAACAAAACGCTGTGCATGAGGTATCTGTCCAAGAAGGGCTGTAATGGACCGGCACCAGGCCAATGTTTTGACCCCAACCGAGCACATTTCACGCCACTAGCGCTACCGCCAGATGCCAAGACATTCATTGACAAAAACTTCCTCGGTCTAGCATCAGAGTTTCAGGACTTGTGACGCCAGGCGAAGGTGTCACAGTCCGTGCCTAGCACGACCGCACTCGGGGCCCAAGGGCAGACCGCGTCAACAACATCAGCGCCAGAACGGGTGCAGGCTCTCGATTCTGTGCAGTCTCGGTCAGAAGTACAGGCTTCTGATATAGTGGTAGCTGGTATGCACACTCCAGATATTGACATGCGAGACGCCATGCTCTCCGCAGAATACATTTAACATTTCAGCCAACAGTACAATGACACTTACCACAAGTTCATTCGATCTCAAACTGCCATACATCATATCATGGCATCGGACTCTATACATCGCTATCGACAGTTTGCGGCGGGGTTAGATGTCGACATTCCTTGTGCACCGCTGGACCAGCTCAAACTCGACATTCAACGCATCAAAGCTGACTCTCAACTTGCACGGAGTAGCCGTCTGTCGCTAACGGAGTTCGTGCGACTTTATCGCAATCAGACAGCAAGTGATCCAAGACCCAACAAAGATCTTTTCGAGCTTCCACGTCAAGCAGATCCCAATCTCCAACATCTAGTCGGTCGCTGGAATTCTGTTGTACAGAATGGCGTGGAGTCCATTTGGAACTCTGACAAACCGCAATTGCAACTGACCCGGCCGCAAAATCACAAGTCTATCGACAATTATCTTCCTCAAGTTCGCGAGAATCTCGCCAAAGGACAACGAGATGGACGCTATCTTATAGTCGAAGTCGACTTGCTAGACGAATGGCCTCATGTCTTTATCAGCCCGATCGGAGTGGTGGAAAAAAATCGGAGAATTGACGTCAATCCGTGTAATTAACGACTATTCTTTCCCGGATGGCGCCTCAGTGAACGATTTCAGCAACCGTGTCGATTTCCCCGAGATATCATACAACCCATCAAAAGATATTGCTCGTCGAATCCTCGAGCTACGAATTCGATTCCCATGTCATCCCATCCTAATATTTATGCTTGTCGATGTATCCGGAGCCTTTCGTCACATCCCAGTCAGCGCCCAACACGTGCACATGTTTGCCTTCCGCTTCGAAGGTCTTCTCATAATCGACCTTTCATGTGGTTTCGGTTGGTGTGGATCACCAGCTTACTATTCACTACCTGGGTCCCTCATCAACTACCTGCCTGTATCAGCCAGCCAGCGCTTGCACCTTTGGACTCCAGTTCATTTGTGGGGAATGTTTAATGCGACGACCGCACATGCGTGGAGCTCGACACCGGGACAAGATGCTTTGAGGCTAATTTGGTGCTACGGAAAGCCATGGCAGCTCTTGAGTTCGTCGCCATAGATCGACGAGTTTCCTCACCTGAACGACTCACAGTTCGAGTCGGTTCGGAAGATGGCGGGCATCTTCGGGATGCAGGCCTTGCAAAGCCTGGTGGTGTCAACACCG